GCAGGCGGACACTAAGGCCCAGCGGCGCCAGACAGCGGAGCACCCCAGTGCTCATGGGTAGGCGCGCCGGCCTCGCTGCGGCCGCCCCCAGAAAGCCACGCCCATGCAGTGTGGGCGGGGCCACGCATATTTGCATAGGACCATTGGCCAAATTTTCCTAAATTAGTTAATTTCTTACCTATTTACTCTTATCTATATTAGCCAGAATACCGCCAGAAGTCTCAGAAGATTATTCCAGAAAGTGATTTTTATTTCTTAAAAACCATCAATTTTCTCGCCCTAACCTTAAGGTAGACTTTCTGATGGGCCTATAAAAAGTTCCGAATGTTGACTTTCGGCTGTAGTTCGCGCTGAAGGCCTGTTGCCTAGGCTACAGACGGAGGACTCGGTTCCTCATTTGCGCCTAGGGGAAAGTCCCCGGACCGCGGGCAGAGAGTGCCGCGTGCGCATGCGCGTAGACCTCCCCCGCTTCTCCTTGTCAATCCGCCAAGAAGCGAACCCGTTAGGCGGGGGAGCCGAGCGGTGTGCGGCGGGGTCGTCATCCGTCATCTCCTCTAGTTACGCAGGCGGTGCGTCTCTGCGCACTAACCACACGGGGCTCATTCTCAGCGCGGCTGCATTTTGTTGATTGAAGATCAAAGGAGCAACAGTAACATCTATACAATTCAGATTCATGCAGAATCATTAACTTTGTCAATTATATCACAATAAAGCTGGAAAAATCCATTTTGATTTATTTCAATTCATTAAAAACCGCCCTGGCCGGTTTGGCTTAGTGGGTGGAGCGTTGGCCTGTGGACTTCTAGGGTCCCGGGTTCAATTCCGGTCGGGGGCATGTGCCTTGGTTGCGGGCACATCCCCGGTGGGAGGTGTGCAGAAGGCAGCTGATCGGTGTTTCTCTCTCATCGATGTTTCTGGCTCTCTGTCCCTCTCCCTTCCTTTCTGTGAGAAAATCAATAAAATATATACAAAACAAAACAAAAAACCAAGCAGTCTATTAATTACCGCTAGACTGTAAATGCCATATCTCTTTTTCGTTACCATTTTATTCCTATAGCCTACATGGCTCTAGCAAGCACTCCTTTTTTTAAAAATTAAATGCATTGGAGTGCCATTGATTAATAAATTTGTGTTTGCCTTGCGCAGGGGCCATGCTAATCTCTGTATCTTTCCAATTTTAGTATCTGTGCTGCCAAAGCGAGCACTCAATGAATCCTTGTTGAAGGAAATTAATGTTTTCAAACGATCCAACAGTTAAATATAATTAAGCTCTTTTTAAAAATGAGGAAACTCAGGTTCCTGAAGGTTAAGTGTTGTTGATCAGGTAAGAGACTAGGCGATTCCAACCATTTTCTGCTTGTCCCCATATCATCTGTCTCACATCACCCCACCTCCAGGCCTTCCCACTTCTTGCCGACAGACTTAGGTAGTCTCCCACTATTGCACACTATCTTTTATAACTGTCTGGGATACGAAGGGTCATCTTCTTGATTAGACCAAGAGCTCTTTGAAGAGGAGAGAAACCATTTCCCACTCACATTTGCATCTCCAGAGCTTGGCACATACGTGATGGGCACTGGTACAAGTGTATTAAATGAATGAAATACACGTGTTAAATAAATGAATAAAATTCGGTATGTCTTCCTGTCTTTCCAGAAAGGAAGGGGGCACTGCAGGGAGAGACCCGAACCCAGGGGAGTTTGACCACCCAGAGGCAGCCTGGGTGTCAGAACAATGTGCTCCAAACCTTGACTCCAAGCCAGTTGGTGTAGTCAAAGTAAATAAGTGGTTCTGGGGGGGGAGGGAAGAGGGACAGGGGTATAATATGATAAATGGCCCCTAACTGATCGCTGCCTTCAGGGAATTTGGGCCCACTATTGCCAGATATTCTGATTTCTACACCCCCCCCCCCCCGTTCAACAAATTGGGATTTTTAAAATTTGAAATCTGTTTTAAAATGTTAACAAGGAATATTTGGCATATTTGACAACTGTGTGGATCATGTTTTTAAAATTCTCTTCTATAGGATAAAATTATTTTCAGTAATAATCAGGAAATGAAACAAGTAACAAGGGCCATAAAATAAGCTAACAATAAGGGTCAGAAATTCAGACTGAATTATTTGTATAACTGAATGTCTGATATAATCATGACAGTATAAAACTATATATAGTGCCCAGCCAGTATGGCTCAGTGGTTGAGCATCAGCCTATGAACCAGGAGGTCACAGTTTTATTTCTGGTCAGGGCACATGCCCAGGTTGTGGGCTGGATCGCCAGTAGGGGATATGCAGGAGGCAGCTTTTAATGTTCTGCTCTCACATGAATGTTTCTCTCTGCCTTCCACCCTCTCTAAAAATCAATTTAAATTTTTTTTTTTAAGTTTCTTGCATGTTAAGCAACAAACATACAAACAGTTAGGGAAAGTAATCATAAGGATGTTTGGCAAAGATTTAAAAAATTCCATTTCACAATAAATCCCAGAATTTTTCAATAGAAATAAAAACTCTGGAATGACATAAAGTAATTCAAGTTCAATTTCTTTGACTTTACAATCATTGGGCTACTGATTGTTCATTATAAATCCATGGGCTAAATACAGGAATATGTACTATCATAGGAGCTGGAGACAGAGATTGTGCCCAAAGAGAACCTGAACAACTCCAAACTGTTAAGAACTAATTCTAGATTTAAACACACCTAGATGAAGCTGCTTATGTCAGGGGCCAATTGTATAACTGGGAGTTCTCTAGATGAACTTCCATGTATATGACAGTGTTTTCTAAAGGATAGGTAATACAAATGTGCTCATTTGACGCTCGTATCTTAAGAAAGCTCATCAGTAACCACAACAATGTAGAACCTGGGTCTATAAAAGCTTTTTCAGAGAGGAGTTCTTTATTACTGACATTTGTTAGTATTGCTGGAACATGGTGGCAATAAAATGGAGACCGATTTTTAGTTGGTTTTGTCTTAAAATTCTCTACAGATGATACGCTCTTATTGCCTGCAGCTGGAGGATCAGACCTCTCATGCCATTCCCATCCTTGGGACACTAATGCAATCTTTAAAAGTTCAAAACAAAACAAAACAAAGACGTTGTATGGGACACACAAAACATATTTCTGGCTCCTGCTCTAAAGTTTAAATTTGGAACTTAAACTCCCTCTTCCCACATCAATAGCCTCCCACTGACTGGGCTGTCTCTGGGCAGGGCAGGTACTCTAGTCCCTGCAGTGAACAGGTGCAAAGACAGGACTCAATATCCCAGGATAGTTCCGGGGCAGAGGTTTCTTTAATTCAACTAACTTTTGAGATTGATAGTTATTAGGGACAGTTTGGATGAAGTGGGTCAAGAGGGAGGAAACTAGCTTTTTCTGTGCCCTGTTATACCAGAACTAGAGGCCCGCTGCACGAAATTCATGCATGGGTGTGGTTCCTAGGCCTGGCTGGCGATCAAAGCACAAGCATCTGGCGTGGAAGGGCAGGTCCCAGCTGACCTCTGGGCCCTGGGCAGCACCTGGGCCCTCGGGCCTCCGTGTGCCCCCCTCTGCTGAGTCACAGAGCCCGAGGAGTCCCCACGAGATGCGGTGAGCACAGCTGGACGTCATGGGCCAGGGGGCAGCGTGGGGCCTCTGGGCAGCCTGGCAGTGCTGCACAGAAGCCGGGCAGGCAGCACACTCTCTCCCAGCCGGCCTTGCAGACCGGCTCCTGTGCAAACCTATGGGGAGCCTGCCTGGCTCCTGCGGTCCCAGAGGCTGTGGCACGGCTCACCCACAAGAGGCTGTGTGGGTGTGAGGCAGGCTCCTCACAGGCACCTGGCATCTGAGTAGGCGTGCGAGCCCTGGTGTCCCAGGGGAGGGTAGCAGGGGGAGTGAGAGCAAGCTCAGCAGACACCCTGCATTCTCACTGCACCTCCTCCGTCCCCGTCACCCCCACCCCCAGGTAGCCGGCGAGAGGTCACAGAGGGTCACCGACGCCTGCCATGTTCTGCACCACCTCCTGGTGGTCAGTGCACGTCATAGCGAGCGGTGGAACTCCTGGTTGAATGACCACCCGAGGGGGCAATTTGCATATTAGGCTTTTATAAAAGGCTAATACGCAAATTGTCCCCTTGGGAGTTCGACCAACCGGGAGTTCAACAACTCGCTATGATGTGTGCTGACCACCAGGGGGCGGCGCGGATCGAAGGCAGCCGGCAACTGGGGAAGGAAGGCCCTGATCGGATCGCCGGCCAGCCTAGGGACCCTACCCGTGCACAGATTTCGTGCACTGGGCCTCTAGTATAGGATAATAACAATGACAATGGTCATCCTAACACGTTCACCTTGGATCAGCCTTAGGGTGTGGTGAGATGGTACATACCAGGAGGCCTCCCAATCCTATTCCACGTTATAGCATGTTCATCCAGAAGCACATTCTCCTCATGAGACTCAGAACTGGAGAGAAAAGTCAGGTACCTGGTGGCAAAGGGAATCTCTGTCATAAAGCCTGGCTTCCTTGTCTTGTGGGTCCTGCCTCATGCCACTTCTGCCCCCCGCGGAGTCTTCATGGGCTCAGCTACACAGTGGCACAGGCCTTCTTCTCTCTTCTCTGGCCAAAGGGGGTAGAGGGCCAAGGGCGAGGGGGGCGTGAGGTGGGGAGTTGCGGAAGTTCAGGAGTTGCTGGGTGGTGCAGGTGCAGGCACTGGGCGGTGTCAGTTCTTTCACTCATCCCTCCCCTCCCCCTTCCTCCCCGGAAACCAGCGACTTTGCCACCACCAGTATTGGGGATGATGAGCTGTGGGGGCCAGGCCGGGGAGGGGTGGGAGTAAGGGGGGCTGCTGCAGCTGTCAGACCATAAGCCAGGCTTACGACTAGGCTCAGGCCTGCAGACTTGGCTCCCACATCAATAGTCATGAGCAGCGGCGCCAACTGCACGGATCAGCTAGGGCCCGGTAAGCGGGGCGGGGCAGGGACAGGGGGAGGGGTCACGCGGCCCCATGTCCCATCTGCTGGGATCTGGAGGGTTGGGCTGGGCAGTAATACCCACCCCTCTATTCTCTCACATCCACAGGAATTCCCTCCTTCCCCCAGGCCTGGGGATTGTGGGCCCTCTTAGGGGCTGTGACGCTGCTGCTTCTCATCTCGCTGGCTGCACACTTGTCCCGATGCAGTAGTGGCTGGAGAAGGAGCCATTCAGGAGGGGGACAGTGAGTGGGGAGAAAACAGAAATGGGATAATTGATCATTTCTCCTTACCAAGAGGTCCCCATTTACCCCCTAAACTTTGTGTTGCAGGTCTGGAGGGTCTGTGGAAGAGGTCCCCCTGTATGGGAACCTGCATTATCTGAAGACAGGTAGGAAACTGGCAGAGGGGAGAGGCACGGAGAACAGGTCCTGGGTGGGTGGGATGAAGGGCTGCAGGAGGAGGAACAAGAAGTGACCAGATTTCTGTTACCTGTCCCAGGACGACTGTCTCAAGAACCAGGGCCAGACCAGCAGGATCCAACACTTGGAAGCTCCACCAGGGTGAGTCAGTTGTTGCTGAGGAAGAGGGGAGGGAAGGAAGTGGGGGGGGGGGCGCTTTTTCAAGGGTCCAGTGCACTTCTAACAGCCTTGCATCTCCAGGCTGCAGAGGAGGTGATGTGCTATACCAGCCTGCAGCTGCGGCCCCCTCAGGGCCGGATCCCGAGCCCGGGAACCCCCATCAAATACTCAGAGGTGGTGCTGGACTCTGAGCCGAAGCCCCAGGCCTCGGGCCGGGAGCCGGAGCTCTATGCCTCCGTGTGTGCCCAGACCCGCAGAGCCCGGGCTTCCTTCCCGGACCAGGCCTACGCCAACAGCCAGACTGCACCCAGCTGAGATGGAGGGCCTGGCATCGCCCCAGCTTCCTCTGTTGCAGGGGTGACGGCTACCCTGTTCGGGGCATGACTATTTCCCAGCAAACCCCCAAAGACAGTCAGCCATTGCCCCATCACAGGAGGTGATGTTCCCCAAGCCTCCTATCAGACCTGAGGGAGATAAGTCAGGGGGAAAGCTGGCCCCCGTTTCTTGAGGATGGAGAAAGCAGAGGCAGTGGCCCCCTCCTCGCTTCCTCCTCCTTCCGGAGTCTTACCAGGTCCTCCCGCTATTGCTCTCATACACTGTACCGCTGACACCTCAGTGTCTCCTCAGACACAGGAAGTGGGCAGTGGGGGAGGGGGTAAGAGCCTAAGAGGACCTGGGTGGGTATACCCCTGGG